GCTAAAAGCGACATACCTATTGGAAATTATATAATATGTTGCATATATGATAATATTTGATAATAAATAGTTCATTAATGCGTTTAATGGTTGAATAATATTCATTTATTTAAAATATAATGTTACAAAAGGGAAATATAATTAAATAAAAAAATATCTTTGGCATTTCCATCTTTTTCATTTCTCACATATTTTATATATGTTATATTTTTAAACTAAATAGAATTAAACTTTAAAATAAACAAATTTCACGTCACAATTGGAGGTTAGAATCAGGTTATGTTAGTCACAGAGTATCGCACCTATCACATACTGTAAGGAGTATGTCACTTTAAAACACATTTTCATAAAATTTTTCAAGTTATACAGTAAAAAAATAATGAAGATAAAAATATTTAAAAAATATTTGTACAAAAGCCAAATGCATATAGAAGAATTTAATATTAAACAAAAAGATTATTATCGCTGTTTGGTCTACATAATTCGTCAATAAAAATCATAGAAATAAAATTTACGAATTTCTAAAACTCAATATTTGCTAATTTAACATATAAAAGAACAAGAAATATATCACATATGAATTTTTCATGATTTAACTAATAAAACGAATTACGTTTATATTAGTTTCGATAAAATACAACATTTAATATATGAGATATAGAGGTATGTCGCTTTAAAAAGCCTACACTGTTAAATATTGGAGGGTCAAATTTAAACCAATTTCTTGAGTTAAATAATATTTAGTTATTTTTAACTATCATTTGTGTCAAAATATACTATTTTAACACAAAACATGTGTTTAAAAAAACAACCACATCTAATCAACCCATTTAAAACAATATTGTCATTTTTTACTAAAACAAAGGTTACATCCCTTATAGAAATTTAATACTGATAAGTAATAATTTGGTCAGTAATAATTACTGTCGTTCAATAATTTTACTCGTACGAGTAATAAAATTACTATTTATTACTAGCCAATTTATCACAGCCAGTGATACTTTTCTATAAGGGATTAACGTGCACATAATAAAAAATAAACTAAATTTTAGTCAAATTTAATATATTTCTTAAGTTAAATTATTTAACTCCATTACATTAGTTAAATTAACGACATATTTAGTAGGAGCAGTGGCGACTTATAGGAATGGTTAAAAATAACTCAAATTGAGTATAATTTGACACTACGGATTTAACAGTGTATGTCGCTTTTAGCTACTTTCCTCTATCTGTCTAAATCCTGAATATTTATTTGAACCTCCTTTTTCCCGCAGAATTTACCATTCTGTTAACATTAATTGCTCGATGGCTTGTTTAAATAATTACTCCACTAATTATTCCAATAATTATTTCATATGTTTAAATAATTATTTCCACGAAGCGCGTACGTCCTAAATATATAATATATTCAATCAAGACGAGATCTTACTTTGTCGATTATTTAGGGCAGCATATAATTGTTTCGATTTCCAAAAATTCCACCAGTTTTTCTCGATGTTCCTAGATATTCTTTTACACATTACACACATATTTTTTCCTTCCTATAATACATTGAGAAGAAATATTTGAAAGTTTATTTATGAGATATAAAGTTTCTGTTTTAACACACGCGTTATATAACAGTTATATTGTTGAGTGGGAAACTATAACTAAAAATTATATAACTGTTACTTGGTGTTTGCTGGGAATAGATCATAATAGAAAACTATCCAAGTAGCAGACTCACGTCAAAATAACGTTAAAATATGTACGTGGTAATAACTCGTCGACCGACGTCAAGTAACTAAATAATGACGTCTTTAAGACGTCTTTTTTATGATGTCTTAATTACGTTTCTATACAACGTTTTAATGATGTTTAGAGACGTCATTAAAACGTCAATAAATCGTTTTAAAATGTCGTCATCGGCCTGACATTAGACCGTCATTTTGACGATATTTTCACGATATCTTTGGTCATTCCTTGGTAATTTTTGGTCATGAACTAACAAGATTTGGATGTTATTTTGACGTGAGTCTACTACCTAGGTATCTTGTATTCCTAATAAATAATATTATAACTAAATATCGGTATATAAAAACTGTTTATCCTATGAAAAACTGTTATCCTTAACACTGGAATATCAAAATAATAATCCCTTTTGGATGCCTCAAAAGTCACTTTGATTTCTGATATTTTAAAACGCCCTCTGCTCCTCATTACGATTTATGGCAATCTTTGAACATACTAACAAAAAACAATTTACAAAGTATAGACATTTTATATATTGTAAACGAATTACAACAATTATCATAATTTTTCCAAACTTATAATTTCTTATAGTAAAACACATCATAATTATTACTTATTAGGCTTTTATAATTACACGGAGAAAATATTATAATTGTATAGAAATAAATAGAAGAGAAGGTAGTATTATGGCCGGTGTAAATATATTGGATCTTCTTAATATCCCCGCTATTAAGTGGCGAATTTTAACAGTGATTTATTAGTTAGATTATTTATTAGATTATTACTTAAATTTATTAGTTAGATTTATTAATTATTAGTTTAGTAGGCTGTCGTGTTACGCACTGATATGTTAATAGACAATAGCTGGAATTAGTTACAACTCTTTTCACTTCGTAGTATTTCGAAACATTCTCAAGACATATTTTATAGTATTTAATTATATATACTTTCTTATTCTTCTTAAACTTGAACTTATTATTATACGAACATATGTACATTTCAGTATTTTGTCCATTATTTAACATTTTAATCGGTTGTACACATTTCGAATTAAACAAAGTTAAATAATAGCATAGCATTTTGCTAGTATGGTCCTCTCAGTGTTCTGATGATATTGTTAATGACGTGTTTCTTTTTCGAGATTTTTGTATCAAAATAGTTATTCGATAAGCTAATTGTAATTTTATTGTTTATCTATAGTTCACATTACATGTACTGTAAATTTTTTTGAAAAAAATAATTGCAGTTAAGTTTAAAAGTTTATTTGTTTTATATATGAACTGTTCTAAGAATTTAATTTGAATACATTTTTATTCAAATAGAATAAAAATAGAGTTTAATTTATAAATTTGTAACAAAATACTGTTTTTAAATAAAATAAATTTTTTAAATCTAATTTAATGGGAGAGACCACATTACTATCTCTAAGTCTTTTCGATTTATAATGCAGTATTGCTTCATTTTTATAAATATCGTTCTAAATAATAAACATAACTTTGAGTAAAAAATTGATTAAATAATATTTTAACAAATATAATCATCAAGTCTTCAATTTAAAGTATTAATTATTAACAAATTTATTGTATAAAATGTAAAGATGGCATAATACTATCTTTTCCTTTATAAATTATGTTACAATTATATTTCTTTTTACAATACTTTTTGTATAGCTGAACTATACTAAAATTGCAATTATCCCGAGGATTTTGTCCTTCAGAGGATATTAATTGAAATATATTTCTAAATTATCATGGAAAAGTAGTAAACTCGATAATTTATAAGGATAATAAAATAATAATAATATGGTGGTACATATGATATAAAAACATTTAAATAATAAATATATAATATAACAGAATATAAAAACATTAAGTAATTTTATAATAAAAATCAAACGCGCATAACATTTTTAAACAAATATATAGTCATTTCGGTCGTAATTTTCTATGGTCCAAAAACAAAAATTTTGTTGTAAATTTTACTACTATATTTTCTCCATATACAAAAGACTGATAAATGAACACGAATCAAATATAAACTTAATCGAAATTGAAAAACTAAAATCTCAAATAAGTAAATAGTTTGTGTACTATCTTTATATATAATACTGACTATTAAATAAATAATTTAAAGAACTGTCTTGATAATTTAAGGTAAATCATGAAATAATTCATCATAATATAATCGATCTCTTTCGTTACTCTCTCTCAGCATGTTTTGCTGTAAAAATAATTAAGTTCCGAAAAATTTTTTCCTAAACCATGAGGAACAGAAATGATGACAATAATAACATTTTAAAGGAGTCAAAATAACTCCATTGGGCATTCTAGTGTTAAAATACATTCTTAAATAAATTAAATAACTTTAGCGTAAGGATAATGTATTCCTGAAACAGTGTAATTAAGTTCACTAAGATAATATTTGTAAATTTCGCTTGTTCTAATTTCAATATCAACAACAGGAAACGGTTTTTATTCCCTATTTTTCTCTCTTCCTTTCTTTTCCTCCTCTCTCTCTGTTTCTCTCTCTGTCTCTGTTAAACAATGTAAAAAAAGATGTGTAGTTGGCAGGTAAATATATGAAAGATTATGACAGTTGATGAATGAGGCGTTGATGAATGAGAGAGCCTAATTTTTCACGCAGCGCTTCAGTGTACGCACAGCCTCCTACCGTTAGATCCTTCAGTTTTGAAGGATTTAGTTACTGAGCCCCGCCGGGGTAGATGCAACAGATATCCGCTAACAAGCATCCGTGTAACTCTGTGTCACGCGAGTACTCGAGCCTTAATAATATATGCCTATGAATTTTTCCCTCTGCTGTAGGCGAAGGCACGGCTTTTATTGCATCAGCGCATGGAAGAGCACACTCCCTCCCGAAACTCACCCACATTTTCCCATCAGGGTACAACCTGCCGTTGGAAGCCTCGTGCGTCGTGACGCACACTGACACGACGTTTCTACATAGATGTTCCCAAGGGTTCGCTGCGTTCTCGGCGTGCGTTCAGAGAGAAATCTCTGCGGGTTCGGCGCGGGGCCCCAGTGGGGCACTAGAGCCACCGAGTCGGGACGCTGTATAAATCTATGAGGCACGAGACCCTCGCAGCGGGATTCGGCCTGATTCCGTAGGCGCAGGGAGAGATGGGAATGTCAGTTTCTCCCTTGGCTTCGCCGGCCCCCGCTGGAGACGAGAAGCACAGCCAAGGGGGAAGAGAGCAGGCACGGAGAGTGGGGCCGAGGCTATATAGTCTTGGGGTAGGTCGCCGATGAAACGAGTTATCCGAGGAAAAGGAGCGGTGCACGGTCGACGGTCGAGTGCGACGCGGGGGCGAAGTGACGCGGAGTGTTGTTCGACGGTCCCGTGAGTTCATGCGGGGGAGGAAGTAACGCGCGGATCCTGCGTGAAGTGCGGGAGTCCTCTCTCAGCGCTCGTAGACGCACAGTGGAGGCGGAATGAAATCGACAGCGATGGCGTTCACCGTCGTTGTCCTCGTCGTCTGTATGCTGTCGACGAGTAAGTATCAGTGCGCGACATGTGACGTGCATGCGAAATGTAATCGGCCGCCGGGGATCGCGAAAATACTCGCAACATTAACCAGTTTCCGTAACGCTGAATATTTCGCGTGTACGACGAGATCGTCGAGGTCAGCTTATTGTTCACTACTGCGGCGTTTTAAGCGAAGAGTGATATTACGAAGACAATATTTTGTATCGCTGTCGTATGTGTGTCGCGTGTTGTTGGAACTCGAGAGGGAACGCGGAGCGTTGGAGGGTATTTGGTGAAGAGGAAGTTGCACATGTGCATGAGATAAAGCACACGAGTCGCACGTGTGCACCGCTGAGGACGCGGTGTCAATCAGCGATGTAATATGGCAGATGTAACGCAGGGTGCACTTAAAGAAAAAGACATGGTGGTGGCAACTATATTCACATAATATAAAAATATTAAACTTAAGGAGCTTTTAATTATATCACCAAAGATGATAGCTATGTTATCATGACTTTAAAGTGTTACCCTTTTCGGGAGACTTTTGATAAACCTTAAATCCAACCATTAATACGAGATTTTCTTTTCTTTGCTAATTAATTATCATTTCAATATTTAACAAAATATAACTATTTTATCATCTTAAGCTAACGTTTACTGCTCTCCGAGAAAGAAAATTACTACACTGAGAGAAAAAAATAATTGGAATAACTATAATCTCACTATATTTTATGGTTTATTTTGGTCTCAAACATATATTTATAGTTCATCTAAACATGAAGATATAGCAGAATGAACACATAATTTATAGTCACCATTTTATTACTCTATGTATATAGTAAAGCACTTTGGGAATATAGTTACATGTATCTATATTTGCCAAATATTCCAATTGTATTGACTATATAAAATAGTTAATTTCTCTTACCATTCAATATTTGCTACTTTACTATACTTTTTATTTCAAATAATTATAATTCTTGGTAAAAGTTTTACATAGGTCAATTATACTATGCTTATATTGTAAATATTACAAACATTATGATGACATTTACTATAAAACTAATATTCCTAACTATAATCTTTTTACTATGCCATTATAGTTCCAAATATCATACATTTTTCTCTCAGTGTACAACATTAAATCCTCATACGAAAATTGTAATTTATTGAAATATTATAACAAACTTTTGATAATAATAACAACATTGGTTTTGGTGCTATGTGGATATAGGTAACAACTATACGAGTTTCGTACGTAAAATTAATATATATAATTTATTCAACTATTTTGTATAGTCCTTGCAACTAAAACTCAATAGTTGCTAGAATTATACAGTATATATATATTGGGTGTACAACTTAGTTCGGTCCGTTTTCAAAAGATGGCTCTAGGTGCTATAAATGGTTGACGGCGACAGCTGATTTTTGCTGTATCGTGAAGTGTCAACATCTGTCAACCAAATATTGTTTACAAGCCTTTGAGTTTTGCACAACAAGTTTAATTTTTACTGCGTTGAAAATGTCGAGTTTCGTTCCAAATAAGCACCATTTGCGGGAAGTTTTGATTTTCTGTTTCAATTGGAAGAAAAGTGCAGCTGAAGCGCATCGAATGCTTGTGGAAGTTTATGGTGAATCTGCACCGTCGGATAAATCTTGCAGAGAATGGTAGTGGCTAGCGATGGACAATACTTTCAATAATGTATTAATTCATTTTATCATTCAAATAAATGCGTTTTTCAAGCAAAAAAACGGACCGAATTAAGTTGTACACCCAATAGTACTCGTAACCGTTTAGTTTTAGTTGCAATAATTTAAAAATAATTAAACTATATACATTAATTCTATATACAAAACTCGTATAGTTACTACTTGTATAGTTGTCACCATTTTTTCTCTAAATGTACATTTTAATATTAATTTGCTTTGGGAAACGATTTTTTACACAGTCCACACAAAATTCGGTCGCAAACAAATATAGTTATGCGAAAAATACGTGATATTTTATGTCATTAGCTAGTCGAATACATTTTTAACATGGAGATATTTTCGTCGTTTTAGTATTTAAATAAAAATAATGAAACTTTTTCAATATATAGTCTAAAAATGTGTCCTCATATTTGAAAATTTCAGTTACAATCTCGAAACATTTCTATAAATTTGTATTTTTTGCAAAATAATTAATTATAATTTAATAAATAAATTGTTTATATGCTCCTAATTATTTATTATAAATTGTTTAAATCATCTTGGGAATCATGTAAGAATAAACAAAACATTTTTTAAATTAAAATTAAGTATAAAACTTATTAATTTAACAACTACAATTTTTATTATTATTATTATTTTATTATCTTTATCATTATTCTTCTATTATTATTCTTATTACCTACTTTTTTCAAATAAATTACAAAGTATAAGCTTCTTGTAAAAAAAAGTATAAAAACTTTAAAAATTTTTTAAATAAAATATTAAAAAAAATAAATGCACAAATATATTTATTATTCAATTTTTTAATGTTTTAATATAATACTTTGAAATTTATGTTAATAATAATAGACATCTTCTTTATATTTTGTATTCTGTTTTATCATCATATATTATATATTTTTACATGATTTTACCGAAAATGAATAAATTCATATCTATTGATGATTTCTAACACAAAAAAAATTTATGTACGATTGAGTAAGAAAAAAAGTCAATAAAAATATCAATAAAATATATATACAAATATTAATTTTATATTAATACATATATTAGTAACATACTTTTGAATTTGTGCAAATAATAATAGATATTTTTTTTTGACTCTTTTCTTATTATCGTAGATAGTATATGATTTTATGAATCAATATGAACATACACAAACGTTTTATTTTACCGTTAGACTTGCATATTTTTACAAAACTTTACCAAAAAAAGTAAATTTATGTTCTTTCATGATTCTTAATACAAAAAGACGATTTATATGAGAAAAAAATCTATTTGAAAATATTGTTACCGTACAATTCTGGAAGCCACTATAGTTGCGTAGCAGGAGTGTCATGTTTTTGACTGACATATCCTTTGACATATATTAAAAATTTTTAGTTCGAAGATTATAAAAATCATCAAAAAAACTTAGATTATAATTTTGATTTAGATTATAAGAGTTAACTTGAGTATAATAAAATTAGAAATTCATTATATGAAATGTATGTGTATGTGAAAATATCGGCACACTGATTTTACAAATATATTCACTTATATCTTCAGTACTTATTGTGGAAATTATTTAAATTTTACTCTTAAAAGTGGCGATTTGATATTTAATTCATATGTTAATTCTGTAAAAAGATTTTTTTTGCAGATTTTGTATATTTTTTTATAATGCTCTCTCAAAAAAAGTCATTTATTAATTGAAAATACACTCATTTTACTTCGTCTATCTACGTCTTCTCTATTTTCGTTCATCTACGTCTAAAGCAGAACTCTATCGTAGAGAGAGGTCAATAGTAAAACAAATTTCTCGCGTTTATTATAGAACGAATTTCAAGAATGTTTTTAGTTATTTCCTACCGAGTTCGATAAGAATCATTGCTATGCATCGCGATCGTACCAGCGTCGTTGCCGTCACCAGCATGCCGTTGCATTACCAATCGCTGTCGAAGTTCCAAAGCACATCTGGAATACCAATCACAATACAAACAATAACGCGCCCGATGAAAGAGGGACGTCACGGGAGAGATGCCGCGTGTCAATTGAATATTAAACAGTCGTGAGAACGTGCCATTCCTCGCGTCGTTTGGTTTCTTCTTACAATTAGCAATTTCCTTCTGCGGATTGCGTCTGCACGAGCCGGCACGCGATGGCATTCCGCTGCGTTACGCGCCGATTATGCGCGCGAGGAGTCAACCCTTTCGTCCCGCACGCGTCTTCCAACGAGCAGATCAGCATGTCAAAAACATAAACGTTTCATCAACTGTCGAGAACTTTTTATTGCAGTCTTAATTTTATATTACTCTCGCTGCAATGTGATATGGCATATTTATTGGCCGCATGATTTGACAAAATTTCACTGCAAAATTGCAATCGTAGGACATAATTGACGTAGTACGGGGGACAACATTGGTATTTTTTAATATTTAAAAATTTAATTTGATTAATGACATTTCCTGATACTCCTTACGAACGCGTTCATCGGTTGCCTTGCAAAGAAATCGTTAAAGATGCCTCTCACTGATTTCTGTGGATATGTGTTATAGAATAGAAAAAGAAATAAATATGTTTTTATGTCTATCTACAAAAAATAAAAGACTAGTATTTTTGTGTTTTACTCGGATAGACAGGTGTATAAAGACAGCAAGTTTACTAGTCGATTTATAAAGAATATGCGTCTATTATAAAGGTCATACGGCACTTATTATATAAAATGATAAAATAGAAACACGAAAGAAATACGAACAGAATGATTAATATTTACAAATAATACATCATATAAAATGTAATAGTTCTATTTAAAAAATCCGATAAAGAGGATTGATAGAAATATATACAAATTTCATTGAAATATTATATAACTTTATCTGAATTTATCATTTCTATCAAAAATTTTTATCTCACATAAAAAATTCAGCATATATACACGGAAAAAACAACTCCATTAATATAACTAAATTTTCTGTTATTTGGGAACCAAATGACAAACTTGGTTGTAGAAAAAGAAAGATAAGAGAAATTTCTACTGAGTCAATTGCTTTCAGTTACTTTAATCGAGTTTTAGTGCTGTTAAATGTTCAAATGAATGTTTTCGGTCACAAAGATATTCTCATTAGCGAGTTCTTTTTCATCTGATTTTCATTCAGTTATATGAGATGAAATTTATTCCTTATAAAAAAAGTTATTAATTTCTTTTCTTTTATATCGTAACTTTTAACTTCTAACAATTAAATATTATGTTAAATGATTAAATAATTATTTGTGAGTACACATACCTTTTTATATAATTTTTCTATATAATTTTATCATTTTTTTTATTAGAATCACAGAAAAAGATTTTTGTAGGTTGAATGAGGAAAAAATCAATAAATTAGTAAAAATAAATATATAAGTATATTAATTTCATATTAAATATATATATTAATGACATTCTTTTTATTAAAAACATGATTCAGTTACATAGATTTTTCTTACATAATTCTATCAAATTTTTTAAACAGAGATTAGATTTGAGTATAGCAAATGTTTGGTTGTGTATTGATGCAAATTTATTTACAGTAGCAAATTTACTAAAAGTTACATTCAGATTTTTATATTACATTTTGCATGACATATTGTTTTGAACAAATTTTGATAATGTTTTTTCTTATTTTAATTTTCTCATTCTATGAGATAAATATAGGTGCCACATGAACCATACATTCATAAAGAATGCAACAAATCGACTAGTAAAGTTGCTGTCAAAATTATGTACATCTATCTAGCGAGATATCTAGAACAAAGAATAATAAAACATCATAAATCTTTAGAATAAAATGTTTTTTCATACACCTCACATAGTTTCGATGTTACTCACTGGAAATTGAATATTCGAATTACCGTCGTGTAGTCTTTCCAGCTTCTAAACATGCTGATAAAGACATAATAAAAGGACTTTTATCTTTTTGATTACTTTATAATATACCTAAGACAAAAATCGTTGAGGGATCTCCAACGGTTCTCTAGCTTCTAAATATGCTGACACAATAAAAGGATCTTTATCTTTTTGGCTACTTTATAATATATCTGCAATAAGACTTGCAAAAATCGTTGAGGGATCTCCAACGGTTCTCTTGTCAGTTATGAAAGCGTCCAAACGATTTCTGTCATGCTAGACGGTCTCGCGGGAAAAATGTCCCGACACAAAGATTAGTTTGTCGCCGTGGCAGCCTGCATAGGTCGCCTTCGGGGAGTGTACTCGATCATCCGAACTCAGGTAACGCACCGGGGCCTTATCGATGGGCGCATCGTCCAGCTGAGAATAATGCAATATGGGTGAACGCATCCGTCTTTTCTCCGTTGCTTGCTCGTTCGACTTCTAAATCTTGGACAAACTCGCGCCGGGTGGTCCTTCCTTTTGCATCTTTTTACCCAGTGACCCGTGTCTCGCTCGTGTCACGTGGAGCCTGCCTGGCCGCGTGTGTCCTCCTTGTTTTACCCTATTACGACCGTTCATTTCTTTGTAAAGAAACACGCTCGAAGGCTTCATTGACGTTTCATTGATTGTCAGTGTCCGTTCTCTCCAGGCTTGGATACCTACTAATCCCTTACATACGTTAGGCTAATGTACCGTGTGATGTTTGTGTTACAGTTGGAACAAGTTTGGAACAAACATGGATCTGGAATTCTGAGACTTTCCAGCAATGTGAAGTTATTTTACAGGAGACCACAAGAAAGGACCGCGCTACTGTTGTACAAGACAACAACTCCAGATTACATTCCACGTGGTTGTCTCAAGAGTAATTATCGTTTCATTATGATACTATCATATTGAATTTTTGTCTGTTTCCCGGGAAACCGATAAAAGGCGAGATTTTCTTTCAATGTAATAATCAAATTGAGCAAATACAATTTAAAAAAATGTTTTTAAACTTCGAGAGAATTAAGTAATAGAATTTGCAACAATTCGTTTTTTCTCAAGTAATAGTAACAAGTTAATCTTCAAAATGAGTAAAACATCTAATTATTGACCCCCTTATATATTGAAAATCTAGAAAAACTTAGTTTTTTCTGAAACGTCAATGGCTAAGTCAATGGCTGAATGTCAATAATTGAGTGTTGTATCTTAACAACAAGTTACTTTTAGAAGGTAACTATCCTATGCGAAAAACTCTGTTATAACTCCTTTTATTTTATCTAGAAAATGATTATTACGATAGAGTTGCAAGAAAGAAACGTCAATTCGTGTAACTGAATAGGGACTAAATGAAAATTCGACGTAAAATGGTGTCTCTATTACTGTAACCGAAAACACTTGTCTGAACATTCAGCTGTATTAAAATTTAGTTGCAGTAACTGAGAACAAATGACTGAGATCATCTCTAATGAGTTTGGAAGCAGCTGGATGTTTAGACGAATGTTTTCGATCGCGATAATAGAGATATCATTTCTCCGACTTGTCGTCTGATTCCCATTCACACGAATTGAGATTTATTTTCCGTGTAAGTGGGGATCAGACGGAAAAATAGATGTTATATCGTGTATTATATAGATATTTACCGTAAAAATCAATACTAAAAATACTAAAATAATAAAAATAAAAAACTCTATATAACTTTATAAAGCGAATATATCGATGCGAATGCGAGAAAGAGAGACATCCACTTTGTATAATTAATTTTTAATAGAATTAATAAATTAAGCTTTTCTTTTATATTTAATGACGAGGAACGATATCTCTGTTATCGCAGAATGATGAATGATCGCGAAATGAAATATTTGACTGTTAAAACTCAATTAAAATATCTGAAAACAATTGACTGAATAGATATCTTCTGCAGGAATCTTTCCTGTTTCTACAACCGAATTTTCGTCTATTTCTCAGATAAAAGAAAAGGAGTTATAATAGAGTTTTTCGCATATGTGGGATATTTACTTTTTAAAAGTAATTTGTTGTTAGAATACAACACTCAATTATTGACATTCTCTTAGTCACTGACGTTCTTAGTCAGTGAGAAAAAAATAAGTTTTTCTAGTTTGTCAATATCTAAGAAGTCAATAATTAAATATTTTATTCATTTTGAAGATCAATTTGTTACTGTTACTTGAAAAGAAACGAATTATTGCAAATTTTATTACTTTTTTCTCGAAGTTTCAGACTTTTTTTTGGAATTTGTTATCATTACACTGAAAGAAAAACTCGCCTTTTATTGATTTCCCGGGAATCAAACAGAAATTCAGTTAAAAAGAAAGAAAATTTTCTGTGCACGGGAAAAACAATTCCGTTAGTGTAATTGGATTTTCCGTCGCCTGATAAGAATAAGACCAAGTGAGAAACTCGGTTGTAGGAATAGAAAAATTCCTATAAGAGGTTTCTACTCAATTAATTATTCTCAGTTATTGCAACTAAGTTTTAACACAACTGAATGTTTAGAATGTTAGAACGATATACACAATTGAATATTATACTTAAGATTTTAAATTTAACTTTAGATTTTGTGTGAATTATTTCACTGGTCAAGTTTCATTGAACTTTGGATGATTTTAAATACAAGAATTTAATATCTGACTATGAATACTGAGCTTATAATATCTTCGGTTATAATAACAGAATTATTAAAATATATGCAGATATAATATACAGATAAAAAAACTATACAACGCACAGCGGGCTAGCAGACCTCAAAAAGTATTCAAAAGTCGATTCCGGAGATGAGATCAGACAAATGTCTTATCGTCATCTAAATAAATTAAGCTATTTTTCAAGTTTCATTGAATTTGATCGATTGGTTTTCATTTAGCAACAAGTTAAACTTTGAATATTATGTATCGTACTAGTAATTTCAATTTTTATTAGTATACGTTTTCAATATTTTATTAGTATTGTTGTATTGCAGCAAATGAAGAATCTGCAACTGTTTCTCATTCATTTTTATACTTAAATAAATCATTATAATAACGTGCAGAGTGAAAAAATACAAAACAGACAAAATGGCGAAACATTATACACATATGTTTCTGAATATTTATCGCAATGTCATTCTTTGCAACAAAAGTTGCGCGAATTGCGCCGCGTATCTTTACATTTGAGGTACTGTGGGGTTCGTTTATATGTATTTTATAACATCAGCTGCCACCGTTCATAATTTATGGAGATATTCGCGAAATACTGCGTACACGCTTCATGTTTGTGCACAATGGATCAGTAGACCTAAGAAAATGACTAAAGATTAAAAGTACTCCCATCATCGTGAAATTTCATACCTGTAGGTTTTCAGGATCGCTGAATTCGAATTCAAATTTAGGATTTAGAAATTCAAAATGGCGGACGGAAATGTTGAAAGTGCTTCGATTGTATAATTTGGAACTAGTAGGTTTTCGGAGTTGCTGAAGTCGAATCTGAATCCAGAATTTAGAAATTCAAAATGGCGGACAGAAATGCTAAAAGTGCTCTGATCGTTGTGAAAATTCGTATTGGTAAGTATTCGAGGTCGCTACATTCGAAATCCAATTCAAAACTAAAACATTTAAACTGTTTGACTCTTTTGATCTTTTGCAATATTGGATCTACTATTTAGAATTTCTGAATTTTAAATTTGAATTTGTATTCAGTGACCTCAAGAACTCCCAACTACCGAGTTTCAAATAAAATCATTATTTGCATTCGGTCCACCATATTGCATTCGTCATCTTAAATTTTAAAAATAAGATATCAGATTCGGATTCAGCGATCCCAAAAACCTCCGAGTACCGAGTTTCATCTAAATCAAGTCACTTTTCGCATTTTAATCCGCCATTTTGAATTTCGAAATTTTGACATCAGAAATGGAATGAGCGATGCCGAAAACCTTATATAAGTGTAACATATATTCATATCTTAAGTGGCAAAATGACGTCAGAAGACAATGGCGTAGCCAGGGGGAGGCTGAGGGGGCTGCAGCCCCCTCCGAAATTAATTTTCTGGGTTACGCTAAGTGTGAAAAAATTTTTTTCGAATGACCTTTTTTTTGTTCGTCAAAAATAAAAAGTGCAGCCTCCCCTGAAACTTTTTTCTGGCTACACCAGACAGAAGACGTCAAATTAACGTCAATTTGATGTTTTTTGACGTCACTGTGCTACTCGGGATATTTTATAAAATATTAATTGGCCAGTTTTACTAGTTTCTTGGCCCACCGTGCAACGATACGTAACGGTAACAACACTATTGTTAAAAGTTACAGGCTAGATTTGCCGCTCCTTTTTCTTCCCAGGCAACGGAAAATTCAGTTACACTAACGGAATTGTTTCTCCCGTGTACATTTTGTAACGATCATATTCATTGCTGTTGCACAAAGAATGTAATTACCTTACGGTCATTAATAAGGAAAAAGGCTCTTGCCAAGTCATTAGTTATAAAAAAAGCAATTTTTAACGATAGTTGCGTTATAAGGAACGAGTTTCTTCGCAACCCTAGTTTCTCAGCAACCTCAATGAAAAGAGAGTGTTTAGTTAGTAATAACAGCTTTTCTGTTATAGGTGCGAAGTGCGAGCCGGTCCGGAATATATAATCAGGAAATATACGTTCTTCGAGAATAGCACATTTTTGTTGTTGCGTTATCATTATGACGACGTGTCGTGCAGTATGCCGACGCATACTGTCAGAATTTGCGGCTCTATCAAATTGGTGGGGCCGTCCAGCATCGTTTCCGGCGCGACCGAGACAAAGGTTCACGTGGACGCCGTTTATATTACACCTTTAAATCGACAGGTATATGCAAATGTATTTTGGATCCACAAACAACATAAAAATTACACTTTTGATCCTTTCACTACGACTGAGCTGGGTACAGAGCTTTACTGTTGTATTCTTTTATCTGTATGATTACAGAACGATCTAAACACTATTTTTCAACATATTTCTAGATACATCTGCCATCAAAAAAGAAAATCTATCTGGTTGGCGGCCGATCATTTCGCGAGATATCGGGTAACTGGGTTATGTTTGCGAAAATGGCTTCGAGCCTCTCGATTTTTCTCGGTAATGCTATCTCTCCGTTCCCGACGTTTTCTTTCACTCCTTAGTTTCCACGCGCCTACGTTTTTCTCCGTTTCTCTCTCTTTTTCTTTCTCTCTCTCTCTCGCGCTCGCTCTCTCTCTTTCTCGCGCGTGCACCCGCACTTCCTCTTTTTCTATCTCGCGTACCCACCGCCTCCTCTCACTAGAATTATTCAAAAACGAATTCTCCAGTTGGATGTTAGCTACGTTCTGAGCTTTGCTTTAAAAGATTTAATAGAATAACACAAGAAAAATTCATGTAACTGAATCATCACGTTTTCGGTAAAACATGATTAAATTACACAATAAGACATGTATATCCAGATAAATATTTTATCGTTAAAAATAAATGTTTAACGGTATAAAATGAAAGAAATAAGAAACTTTTTTATATAAGCTGAAATGTGAGAAATTGAAATTTCTGATAGAAATGATAATTTGGGGAAAGCACTTATACGGATTGTCCCAGATTCGTCTCTGCAATGTTCGTGGAAAGGTGGAACGGATAGAAGAGAGCATAAAAGTCCGATATCGTTTTGCTATATTCGCAATAAATCGCAAGATATTAATTAAAGAAAATTAGTGAATGATCACGCGCAATATGGTAGATGAGATGTCGTGGCGATGTATGTTGTCGTGTGTTTGTACATTAGGTTAATTAATATCTCGAGATTTATTGCGAATATCGCAAAACTGTATGGGACTTTTATATTTACTTCAATCCGTCCTACGTATAACATTATAAAGCGTATATATTTACATTATGTTGAGCATTTTTGTCTATCTAGGAACGCTCGCTTCCCAGATAGCATAGGCAATTCAAAAAGAATTCAGTCGTATATCACCAACCCTGAGTTCATTTTTAGATGCAAAAAGAATTGTTTTGAACTGAACTGAACTCTGAAGAATTCCTTTTGCATCTGAAAATGAACTCAGAATTAGTGAACTGAATTCTTTTTGAATTCTTTTGAAATTTTCTGTGCTATTTGGATTAGTAGAGAGCCACTTTATGGCGCCATCGCGATGGCGCATAGTAGCAAAAAGGTTAATATCTATCGCAAATTTACTTTTTTCAGGTCGCTCATAAATTCGAACAAAGGATGAATTTGACCTGCGGTCCTCAGCCTAGATGGCGACCTTACATATCTCAGCTGATTTATGAACAACCACGGCAATATTTGGCGACGCATTTGTGGCATGGCCCGGTATACAATTCTCTGCAGGCTCATTCGTCTTCGAAAAAACGTCTTGGTCAGGATTGCTTAGATGCGTTCAAAATAGAAGTCGGCGAGTTGAGATTGTTGAGGATGCAGCGAAGATCGTTCTTACCGAAGATGTCCGACAGCTCTTTCTACGACGGGTCTCGCTTGGAACTTTTTCTAGGTAGTCCTGCGCCCAATGTGTCCGTTCGCAAGACTTACAAAGCGACCTCGTTACAGTCCACGTTATTGGTCCACGCCAACACGGTACGTTATGTCGAAGTTCCTTCCAGGTCATTTTAATTTTCGACAAAAATTCTCAATGCGTGTATCGGCAACGCATCAAACATCATGATTTGTCAAAAACACCTTATAAATATATATATATATATATATATATATATATATATATATATATATAAAAGATGTTTTAAACATATTTAAAACATATCTTTTTTTTTGACGATGGGAAAATGCATTATGCATATCCCCGACCTTCTGAGTAAGGTTAGGGATTATGTCGGACTCCTACCGACTAAAACCCTACCGAGCGTCTTGCCTCAACCGTAACCCCAGAAACGCCCCGAGAACTGCAATACATAACATTCGGGACGTTCCCCAGTCCATTTAAAACATATCTAATGTTTTCTAGCAAGGTAAATTCTACTAATAGTTTATTCTTGTACAATTGAAAAAATATGATAAAAATGAAAAAGTTTGTAAAAAAAAAATTAAAATATCCTTCCATCAGAAAGTTTCAAAAGAATACACATAAAATTAATATTTCAAGATGTTGATCTACCCTGCTAAAGAAAATCTAATAAGGTTGATAGAAAGTATACAAGTTTTATTGAAATACTGTATGATTTTATCTGAACTTATCATTTTTATTGGAAATTTTTTACACTTTAGCTCATATAAAACAAGATTATTAATTTCTTTCGTTTTATATTGTAAAGCGATTTTAACGTTTAAATATTATACTAAATGATTATATAGAAACGATTACTAACGATTATTTAGAACATTTCAAAACGAAAACTTTCATATAAAAATGTCGAGGTTATAATAGTTTCAAATGGGAAGCAATTATATTTTACCAATGACAGGGCTGAGATTTTGCGCGCTTAGGCACACCGAAATGACAAATGATAAAGATGTTCCTATGAATGTCACTTTTTTACGATATTATGATTATTGTATAAATTTACAATAACATTGTCATAATATGTTTTGTCGCTTCTTCACGCATTACATTAGTATATTTTTTATACGAATAATAGTTGTAAAACATCTTAAATATGACTCAAGTAAAAATGACATATTTCAACTTAGGGTACGGTCCAGTAAGCGTTACAAATGCTTTGTAACGTTTTTACTTCTTTCTCTTTCTTTATTCGAATCCGAGAAATAGAACAAGAAAGAGAAACGCTGCGCAGCATTTGTAATGGTTAGACCGCGCCCTTAATCTGTCAAAATGTCGATCAATTATTACCATGAAGGTGTCCACTATTCTATACAGCGTGTGGCACCTTTATCACCTGTCATTTCGGCGTGCTTGAGCGTGCGAAATTTTAGCCCTGTTATTGGTGAAATATAATCGTTAATTTGAAAACTATTATAGCCTCGACATTTTTGTACGAGTTTTCGTTTTAAAATGTTCCAAAGAATCTGCCATTAAAATAGCATGCGGTAGTTTCGGGACACCCTGTATATACAGGGTGTCCCATTTTAATTTTCGCACTAAAATATCTCGAAATATACAAAAAATATGGAAAAATGTTTCAGACAAAAGTTATATAGTTCGATGGAAGATATAAGAAAATACCATTGATTTGATTTTGGGTGGCACCGCCAAGGTCAGGTCAAAGTTTGAAGGGACTTTGCTTTCTTAAATAGAAACATATATTTTTTATTACGGAATTTTATTCTACGTAAAGAAACAAACAACTTTTCTATTTTCTAAGATATTTACGGAAATACCTACAAAATTATTGGTATCAATTTTTTACTAGAACTTTATCAACTTTATCGAAAAATAGCAAGAGATAAAAATTATCTATTTTCTTCTCATAGAGCTCTGAAAATTTTTTCAGAGTTTTTAAAAAACCTTTTAGTACTTCAAGAAAATGCAGTACTAAGAAGTTAACTGAAAAATTCTGAAAAAATTCTCAGAGTTCTATGAGAAGAAAATGGATAATTTTTATTTCTTGCTATTTTTCGGTAAAGTTTATAGAATTCGAGTAAAAAATTATTGAAACCAATAATTTTGTAGATATTTCCGTAAATATTTCAGAAAATAGAGGTCGTATAAAAAATAGAGATCGCATAAAAAATGTTTTCAAACAAAAATTGTTTGTTTCTTTACGTAGAAAGTTTTTTTACGATCTAAAATACCGTTATAAAAAATATATGTTTCTATTTGAAAAAGCAAAGTTGACCTCGACCTGACCTTGGCGGCGCCATCCAAGATTAAACCAATGGTACCTTCTTATGTCTTCCATCAAACTATATAAGCTTTGTTTAAAACATTTTTCCGTATTTTTTGTACATTTCGAGATATTTCGGTGTGGAAGTTAAAACGGGACACCCTGTATATATATATATATATATATATATATATATATATATATATATACACATTCCATTCTATATAATTTTTATTAACCAAAAACATGATTCAATTATATAGATTTTTTTTATGTAACTCTTGTGTAATTTTTTACATAACTTCTTATGTAATAATTTTTTATATAATTTCTCATCTATTATATCTTTTGAGCAAGGAAAATCTTTTTGTTTACTGTAAATAACGACAAAGCATGTGGATTAATGTCATACTAAACTTAAAAGATTAGTGAAGAAAGTAAAATCTACCAGTCTAATTATGGAGAAATTCACTTATTGTAAGCATGTTTAATGTAATGAGATGAATAAATAAGTTAATGGCTAATTACGAGATTAATGTTGTTTTTGCAGACGAATGATTGTCTAATATGCGGCAGCATATCTCGGTCGACCGAGTACAGCCCACCTCTTCTTCACGTGACGGTGCCTCTACCCGCGCTCATCGGTGGTTACTGGCTGAGTGAGAGATGCGAAAGCTTTGAGGGTGGCATCTGGTCCAGGAGGCAATTTCAAATATACTCAGGGGATAAATTGTGGACAGGTCGGTGGGAATATTATGACGATCCGCAATGTTCAGTGTTCTTATACGCGATCACCGCGGCCGGAAGTTACATTCAACGAATCAGTGGACAGCGTCGCCACAAAGAGCTCAACGGAAAGCCGCCATTCTCTTCCGATTACGTCTCGCGTCCTTTCAACAACTCAGCAAAGTTCTTCAAAAGAAGCGCGAGCAATCCTTTTCGAAGGAACTTAATGAACGTCAATGCTTCGGCGCTAAAAACCAAAGAAGGATCGTCTGTGCGCATGAAAATTTGCACGGAGATGTTAAGAACGAGGGACAAGAAAGCGAAGAAGCTGAGGAAACTGAAGAGATCGTTGACTGACAACGTTTATCAGTTCTTGCGCGACGCGCAGATCCCGATGCAGTCGAGATATACGGCGATGCTGCGTGGCCATCAGGTGCACGAGACTACCTCCAGAAGGCCCACGGTTTGGAACATGCCGTCCGGAACCACGGAACTGGACCTACATATCGCCGTGAGCACTCTCATCCCCGGCGACGTCACGGTGGCCAATCGCTGCGACGCCGACCGGGCGAATATGCCGCTCACCAGCTGGCCGAGAAACTGCGTTCCTCGAGGCATCGAGGCACCCTCGACTTTGGGGCTGCGCGCCAAGATCGGCATCAATTGGAATGGTCAGTATATCTTGCTGCTGGGCTTGCGAGACGACAACGTGTGGAACGCTCCTTTGCGACAGTGCGCGCAGATCCCGTCGCATAATCCCGTCCTGAGGGCGCATCTCCGGCGAAGTGTCGACCTTCGCTTCGGATTACTCTCTGCCGCACCGGCTAGTTGCGCCCCCGTCTGGCTTCTTGTGTCGCAACTGCTTCTGTGTTATTTACATTATCGCACACGGTGATAATAACGAGTGATCGTCGTTGTTCCTGAAGAACTGAATAAGAGTATACGAGCGTGAGAAGAACGAGTTTGATCGACGCAATGTGGCAAATGACATTTCGATACTCCCGAGATTACTCTCGCGTCTCGTATGCGAAGTTTCGTAGGATGGTAAAGTTTGTACATGTGTAAATAGAATCGAAAATCACTCAGGAATTCACAGTGTTGAGCGCGATCGTGACGATCGACGCAATCAGTTGTACATTCCGATTCGGGTTGGGAAGCAAGGCGTTATTTGTAACATCGTTATCGTTACAAATTATCTTCTTTTCAATAATGATTGTTACAATGTAACTTTTTCAACCCTATTTACTGACGCATCTTTTATAGGTATCGATACTTTTAGAAGAGTGTAACTTGAATCGATGATTGATTGATGAATTGATTGATTTTGATGATAAACGAAAGTTTTCGGTGATTATGTCTTAAGTTTTAAACGCATTTTAATGTATAGTATTCTTACTGTGTATTAAAATTGTATATATATTCATACTAAGCTAAGTGATTTTATATGATTAATCTAACATCCGGATAAATGATTTCTAATCGGTTTAACGATTTAAAATCGGATGTCCGTTTCTTTTTACTTGGTTAGTAAAAAATCTGGATAACCGATCAAACTAATTAATCACAATGAGTAATAAAAAAAATCGACTAATTAGTTAATCGTTAATCATTAGCGATTTCGTTTTTTAAACTACATAGAAAAAAAAATAGATTGTTTTATTATGAGACTCATTGCGTGTATAGGATAACGACAATATCGTCCTTACCCTTTTTCATCTTTTCGCACTACTCCTTTCCTGGTTGGCATACTTGTCTTCAAATCACGTGATAATAATGAATATCACAATGAATAAACATTGAAGTGACACTATATGCAATAGGATTTCAACTGCTTAATTAAACTTGGTTAATATACTCACCGAAAAATGGTAAGAGATAAAAATTGTTTATTTTCTTCTCATAGAGCTCCGAGAATTTTTTCAGAATTTTTTATAAATTTTTTAGTACTTTAAGAAAATGCAAGAAAATGCAGTATTAGTTAAGAAGTTAACTGAAAAATTTTGAAAAAATTCTCAGAGTTCTATGAGAGGAAAATGGATAATTTTTATCTCTTGCTATTTTTCGCTAAAGTTGATAGAATTCGAGTAAAAAATTATTAAATCCAATAATTTTGTAGATATCTTCGTAAATATCTTAGAAAATAGAGTTCGTATAAAAATTTTTTTCAAACAAAAATTGTTAGTTTCTTTACGTAAAATAAAATTCCGTAAGAAAAAATAAATGTTTTTATTTAAGAAGCAAAGTTGACTTTCGAATAACCTTCAGAATGACCTCCAAGGTCAAAGTCAAGGTCACCTTCAGATGTTCCTCTCTGAACCCGACAACTTTTGTCTGAAACATTTTTACTGAATATACTTGGCTGAAGAATTATGAGAGTGGATCTTTTAAAATGGGATACTGTATAATATATACAGGGTGTCCCGCGTAAGACATACGAAAAGAAAAATATAAGTAGAACACAAAAGTGAACAAAAATTGTATAGATCATTTTTCAAACAACCACGTAAAATTTCGAGATATTAATTAAAATAGTTGGGCATATCAGAGCACGGCGACGCAGCAGGCGGGACATACAGCTCGCCGCGGCCGGCAAAGAAAATAGAAGAACGCACACGTATACGGACGCACATACGGAGCTACTCATTTCAGTATGCCAGACGGTCCACCTCTCTGGCCTAAGATAGGCCCGCGAGCAATCGTTCATTTTTTTCGTCGACCGCGGCGAGCCGTATGTCCCGTCTGCCGTGTCGCCGCGCTCTGATATGCCCAACTATTTTAATTAATATCTCTAAATTTTACGTGATTGTTTGAAAAATGACCTATACAATTTTTGTTCACTTTTATGTGTTCTACTTATATTTTTCTTTTCGTATGCTTACGCGGGATACCCTGTATATAGTATATACAGGTCTCACTCTCCTCCGGGCATTTTGTGGGGACGTAGAATGAGTTGATGTGAACGTAAAAGTTCTATACTGTTTTGCGAAATTTGCAATAATAATCGAGATATTAATAGCGATGTAAGACCCAACTTTTCTGTGTCATTACTAGACAATCACTAGATTCAATTTTTGCTAGGGTATTACTACAGAATGGTAACATAAATGAAACTGGAAATAATACTTTCTCGGATATATTTATATGAATCAAAAGACACAAATATATAAATTTATTTACGAATAGATGTTGCACATATAGATTATTAGTTGCATTATTTTATTCCGATAATAGTCCAATTTATGCCCTACAAAACACTATATATCTTATTTATCAGTTTGCAAAATATTCAAGATTATCAGTGATTCGATTTATTTAACTTTAAAAAATAGAGTTTCATGCAACATCCTATTTATCATACAGTTTGCAAAATAGTCAAGATTATCAACTTGGCGTCATTTAACATTAAAAAATAGAGTTTCATGTAACATCCTGTTTATCGTACGATTTGCAAATCAAATGTATATTAATTTTCCGATTTTTTCTGTCATGGCGACATGACGTACGCCCAGGAACTTAACAGGAAGATTAGGCAACTCAAAAATTCAAGAAATTCTGAAACATGTGCAAATAGATGTGTAGTTTATCCGTCACACAAAACTATTTTTTGTTTGCGCGGAATTACCATTGATATAATATCTTTTTTTTCTTTCAAGTACATTGCAACTAGCTGGTTTATCAAAGGCAAAAATTAAATGAACGATATTTTATAAAAATAATAATTTTTTTTCTTTATTTTTTCATATTTTGTTTTTAATTATCTAAAGTATTTTGTACATTTTTTTATATACCATAAAAATATTTGACTGGTTTTAGGTTGACAATTTACTATTATCATTATTATAATTATTGTTGTTGTTGTTGTTATATAAAAGCTCTTATTTCAATAGGTACTGCTGTACTGATACTGTACTGATGGATTGTATTTGCCTTTCACGCTATCTCGCACAGCCAACGCGATATGAGATGAATACGTACGGGGGGCGTATACAAAGATGTTTTGTTTCATATTTGAAAAATGATTTTTCGGAACATAATTATAATATACATTATCGTTTTCAGCATAAAATGCTCTTTAATTTTCGTGTTATATAAAAATTTAAAAATTCTTTAAAATAGGGATGAGGGTAAAATAGAGGGATATACAATAAATAAACTATTAGAAAAACATCTTTTATTATTGTTCTAAAGTATTTTTGAAATCATTCACTTTTTACTTTGGAAAATCTTTTCTATCTCTTACAGTTTTGACGATTTTCGCTTCAAAAGAAAAAAAAACGATTTTTTTCAAAAGGATGTTTCAACCCCTAAAACTGTAATTTCGCATGAATAAAAAATAGTTTTGTGTTACGGATGAACTACTTTACTTGCGCACAAAATTTCAGAATTTTTTGAATTTTTAAATTACCTAGTGTTCCTTGTTAGTCAAAGTGACAGTGGCGCAGTAAGTAAGATGAACGACTCAAGAAGCAGAGGTTTCAGGTTCCCAGCTGGTAAGCAAATTTTTCGAAGTATAATTTAAATTGTATTAAGTAGCGGGTGAAACAATAAAGTGGAATATTTAAGAAAAATTCAGGAAAAGAGAAAAATTTTTATATTTTTATAATATGATAAATATGTATATCTAATAGATATTTACTAGATATTTTTGTAAATATTCACTACATATACTATGGATATCTACTGGATATTAACTTTAATATCCTATGGATATTTATTAGATCTCGTTTTACGGACATTTGGATATGTTTCGTAAGTCTAATGGATATTTATTAGATATTCGTGGATATCCCTATTATCCATGAAGGATATTTCATAGATATCTAGTAGATATTATGTTCTGTATAGGGTAACAATATTCGATATGCGATGAATATTGATATAGGCTGTGTTTTAAAATTACTGATGGCGCTGAAAATCTATAATATACATAGTATGAATTATAGTTTTTCATCGCTGGCAATGAAATTTGGGATGCAGCTTAATGACTCTCTATGATTCTCTATGATTACTTTTAAACTTTTAATGGAATATTATAACGGTTAATTCAAAAAAAAAAAAAATACACGAAAGTTTGCTTTCCAGAAGCAAATATCAATGGGATAAATGTATTGGGAGTGTGCATTAATTTTAAAGGATTTTCAAGAGATGGCGTAACTAGTACTATGTCGCATCGGACCATACTGTTTGCCACCTTTATGTCAAAGCACCATCATGTGGCTTTAGTTTCCAGTATGTGTCATTTTGCCGAAGTGTAAACGACATTGTTTTTTTGAGCATTGAATATGTCAAATTTTGTGCAAACAAAACACAATTTACTTTTTTGCTTTTTTGCTTCCATTTGAAGAAAAGTGCTGCTGAAAGTCAACGAATGCTATCGGAAGCTTATGGTGATTATACTCCATCGATTTCAACATGTGAATACTAGTTTCGACGCTATAAAAAAGGTGATTTTGACACGGAAGACAAGGAACGTCCAGGCCAGCCGAAAAAGTTTGAAGATGAGGAAGTGGAAGCTTTACTCGATCAAGACCCGAGTCAAACGCAAGAAGAACTTGCAGAATCATTAAATGTTGATTGATCAACGATTTCCAGACGTTTGAAGGCCACTGGAATGATTCAAAAGCAAGGAAATTGGGTGCCGTACGAGTTGAAGCCGAGGGACATCGAAAGGCGCAAAATGATCTATGAATTGTTGCTTCAGACACAGAAGAAAAGGTTTTTTGCATCGTATAGTGATGGGTGATGAAAAATGGATACGCTACGATAATCCGAAGCGCAAAAAATCATGGTGCAGGCCAGGCAAACCATCAGCATCGACGGCAAAGCCGAATATTCATGGCGCCAAGCTCATGCTCCGTATTTGGTGGGATCAGCTGGGTGTAGTGTATTATGAGCTGCTTCAACCCAACGAAACCATCACTGGAGAACGCTACCAACAACAATTGATGCAACTGAGCATTGAAGCAAAAACGGTCAGATTACGACAAAGTGATTTTCTAGCACGACAACGCTCGGCCACATGTTGCGAAATCGGTCAAGAAAACATTAGAAGCGCTTAACTGAGATGTCCTACCACACCCGCCGTATTCTCCAGATATTGCTCCTTCCGATTACCACCTATTTCGATCAATGACTCATAGCCTGTCTGAGCAGCGCTTTCATTTTTATGAGGATACCAAAAAATGGGTCGATTCGTGGATAGCCTCAAAAGATGTGTCGTTCTTTCGACGTGGAATCCACCTGTTACCAGAAAGATGGGAAAAAGTAGTGGCTAGCGATGGACAATATTTTGAATTATCAATTTGTAACCATTTTTTCACAATAAAGCCGTATTTTTACCAAAAAATCCCTTAAAATTAATGCATATTCCCAATAATAAATCTGCAGGATTTTCTTTATGAACTTCAATCGAGGATTTACTATTAAGAAATCTGTTAAAAGATTCTATTGTTTCCTCAATATCAGATACATTTAGGTTATACGGTATATCGAGTATATTATCATGATCAGTTATTGCAAGATTAAATATATTTTGATGAAATATATTTTGATTAAACTGTTTGGCAAGACGTCTATAAATCTGTCTATCTGACAAATTGCAAAATCATTTCCAATTTGGTTGAGACATTATTCTGTAATAATAAATAATCACAAGATACAGGATCGA